ATCGTCTGAAGGGTCCATTACTAAGTGTTTATGTGTTATGACTTGTTGGCATCAGAGAAAGGGCTGTGAACAGTGAGGCTAATGGGTTTAATTTAGCAGGCTTGAGTTGCCAGGGTCTTTACGGCAACCCTGAGGGGCTGAAGTTTAGGTTTCACTCCCTTTAGATTCATCTAGCCTTAGTGTGCCAAAATAAATGGACAACCTCTCAAATATCAGATGATGGAAATGATAAGGATAAAAAATTATTCCGATGGTAAAACTTTCAATTGGAAATGTTTTAGGTTGACCTATATTTTGATGAGGAGGACCAAATGCCTTTTAGAAAGTGCAATGACAAAACAGATAGTAAGCAATAGCAAGCAAAACTCGATTAAACTAATACATCCAGTATAATTCAGTCTTAACGGTCCTTGACTCCACAGAAAACTTGTCTTAAAATAAACTACCTAATACTCAAATGCAAACCCAAAAGGTCTAGTGTGTTATTAAATAAATAGTATTTAACTTATATGTCATGTGTATGGCAAGAAAATGTATATTGTTATATAATTTAGTTGTATTAGGGAAAAAACACACAATTACATTGCCTTGCCTATTGTTAATTATGTAAGCTCTTCATAGTATCACAAATCCAGAATTATGTTGTCAGATTTGACTCAACAAAACGTACCAAAGCTCACAATGTCATCATAGCTCAATTAATCAGGACATGTTATCAAATGTAAGTCTAATTAAATTTTTCATATTTCATACAATGTTTAAACCTTAGAAAAGGAATCGGATGATCTGTGCCTTTGCCTAGTAAGATAAATATCCAGCGTTAGCAAATTAAATTTAGCATTGCGCTGTTGCATAAAACTATCATACAGTAAAAAAAGTTTCCTAACTTAAATAAAAAATCAGTCTGAAATTAATTTAATAAAAAAATGCAAGAAATTAGCAAGAAGAAAAAACATAGTTACTACTAGGTTTTTTTCTAGAAATCAGAGGAAATATGACATTACATTTCAATGCAAAGAATATCAGGATGCCATTAATTATAACATTCTAAAATTGGCATGGAAACAACCGTAAATTTTAATTCAAGCTGCTTGAATTAGGAATGGATCCTTAAGTCATAGTCTTAAGTGTACTATTTCTTCCTATTGCCAAATGAGAAAGAATATCCACCTTCCAGCATAACTAAAATCCAGTCTCCTGAATAGAACCTATGTATTTTGGACAATGTCCTGTATAACATCTTCTGTCATGAAACCACAGCACAGACAAAACTGGCATTTGATGGGATTCCCAAGTGAACCATGAGATACTGTGTGAGATGCCAACAGGCAAATCCATTGCTCTCCACGTCACATTACATAGACTGGCAGAGTTCATTTGGCTAACCTCTCAGAAACCGATCTCAAACAAGCTGCCTGTCTGACGACTGGCATTAATACCAATGATAGATGTTATCAAAATTACTTAGTTACCGATTGGAAGTTAAAGCCTATCATTTACATTTTCACGCACAAAGTGTGTTTCCAAAACAAAGAGAGGGAAGGGAGGTGTAAAAGAGGTAGAGAGCACCTGAACATCACTTGTGAAAAAGTTACAAGGAGTAAAAGACAGTGAATTTGTCATAAGAAAACAAGAACAAAACACAAGAGCTCCTGTTCAGAGACCACAACTAAGAATTCAGCACTCACCTGCCTTCATAGGACGGAAGTTCAGCACGTCACCTGTGCATCAACCTCTAAGTCACATCCAAGTGGGTACCATCAACGCAGTCTCAAGAGTGGAGGGGCACTGCTCTTGGATGCAGAAAAGGGAGGGGAGACTGCCCAGAAAAACCCTCCTAAATCCTCCACTCACACAGAGCGCTGTGCTGGTCTAATTCCACCGGACAACCGCCAAGGACAAGAATGGCAAACACGGCCCAATCCGTGCCTCAGGGTACGCTTGATTTCAAAGAGCAAAAGTCTGGAGAAAGTGATCCCAGAATGAAAGGACAGAGGAGGAGTGAGTGTGTGGGTTCCCTGTACGGCTCTACTGGAGGGAGACGCATCAGAGGCAGGCGCTACCTTTTGCACCAGGGATAGTGTTAAAGTTAATCTGAGATCAGTTTTTGGGGAAGGGGGAGGATAGGAGAGGGAAAGAGATAGGGGTGGGGATGGAGAGAGGGGTTGAGACTTTCGAAAGAGGGAAAAACGAAGAACAAGAGCAGAATGGTAAAGAGAGAGTGGATAAGAGAAGGGGGGGTAGATCTGTGGACCAGTGAAGGGTGGTGTTTGGTAAGTAAATAAAGGGATATATTGAAACTAAAGCTGTAAGCACAAAGAGGATTTCTGAAGAAAATGTCAGGCCTTTGGACTGAACCCCAATTCCCTAGATAGCAGCACTCTCCATAACTAGTGCACAGTCCACTGCATCTCTTCAGGGGCTCTACGGCCCACCCTACGAGCATTTATTTACAAAAGGAAACACAGCAGAAAAACATTGCTTTATTTGACTGAAAAAAAAGGGAGAACAGCTTGGGTTACCGCATTAACATGAATAAAGTTGGACACTCTTAAGTATGTGCGTGTGTGAGTAAATCAGTGTTCCCCCTCCTGTCTTACTGGGCTCCCTGCACCAATTAAAGACAGCCTTATTTGCAACAGCTCACTCAACCCTGAGTTGGTCTCCAAATAGGGCTCATTTCCATAGATGCGTTGGCGAGATAACGACAAAAAGGGGGGAAGTCATTGGTGCATCCACGGTGATATGATCTGGGAAGGAGATGGTAGCGAGATCTGAGTCAGACTCAGTATTGTTTCTAGGAGGACAGTGGACGTAACTAGATACTGGAGGAAGGCAGGATGTGTGAAAGCCGACTGGACGGACGCAGACCCCAGATTCCCTGTGACCAATGTGGGGGTCCCAGTGGAGGGTTCCTTTACACCTTGTTGCTTTGTTGTGCAAATGCAGCCCATACTCTTAACTAAACTAGTGCACAACAAGAACAGATAATTTGACAAAGAGCGCAATGTGGTCCCAGACTGACTGTTGGACAGTTGAATCATCTTGTGCTGGAATGACCAGACACAGAAAAAAGAAAGAGTGAGTAAGGACAAGGAGGAGACAGCAATCCGCTATCTTCTCACCATCGTCTCCCTCTGCCGTTGTAATGAGCTTACTAATAGGGTTTATCACTCAATGTCTTGTCTTTATATTTGTCCCTCATTCTTTTTCATGTTGACCATGTTGACAGAAATGTTGTGGTTGTGGAATAGGTCAACCAAGCTGAGATAATCCTGCATCTTTACAACCAGTTTCAGTCCCACCAAGAACAAGAGATGGCTATAAGCTTGGCGATAAGCGTTAACTCCACTGTCTGGGTATTGGGAGTCAAGTGTCTGATAAAATGTAATCGCAAACTGTCAGCTCCATCAACCACCTGCCAACCAAACCTGGCAGATCCAAATCAGGCTGACCGAATTACCATAATGTCATGGGGTACAACAAGGACCTCTGAAGTCATCGAACCATTTCCGTGGGAAAGGACTCAAGCATAGTTGGACGCACTAACACTGTAGTTGCTTGACGGTAGGTCCGCCAGGCCTGACCCTGTAAGCTGGAAAAGGCCCTGGACTAGACCCTGGCTGGGTTATCCAATAACTTAATTTTCATCCAAACCCCCTTGATGCATCCAATGCCAAACAGTTGCCTTGCCCTCATTTTCTTTCCTTTCCTCAACAATGTCAAGCACCCTTCAGGTAACTCAAGCCTTCTCAGAAAACTCCCCCTCCTGGCCACACAATGAGCCTTTTTCAGCGTTCCTTGCTCTGTGATGCACAGGGTAGATCAGGCTACCAGCTGCCCAGCCAGTTTTTTTTGCTCTAGCTACAGAGTGAGGTGATAAAAAAACTTGCTTAAAACCCCCACCTATCCAAAACACACCAAATCCCTTAGCAGCTCCCAGTGTGACCTTGTCTTTGTAGCCCACCCCTGCTTTCATGCCCTGGTAACCCCTTGTCCCTCTTCCCTCAGATTGGCACAACTCTCGGTGTTGCCGATCCACCAGTGAACTCTGTCTACTGCTGCACTCTGGGAGGTTATGCTGCACAGTAGTAAGGCCACTAAGGAGATGGAAGTTTTAAAGGGGTCATATGATGCTTTTTTAAAGATCATTATTTTGTGTATTTGGTGTAACAGAATATGTTGACATGCTTTAATGTTCAAAAACACATTATTTTTCAAATACTGTACATTATTGTAGGTCCTATATGCCCCGCTTCTCTCAAACGCTTCGTTTTCTACAAAGTCCCTCCTTCCGACAAGCGCAGTCTGCTCTGATTGGCCAGCTGACCCAGTGCATGAAATCGCATCATATGACCCCTTTAAGCCTTGGTTGGACAGAGCTGTGCGTGAGTCTGCGAGTGTGACAGCGATGCCAGGTTTGGCACGTGTAGCTTTTACCTGTAGGCGTGACAGGGATAGGCCAGCACTTCTGAATGTGGTGAAACCAATTAGGTATGATGCTTTTTATCAGCCAGACTGTTGCATTGATCTGGCTGGATAGACTCCAGTTGGATGCTGGCATTTGCCTAGGCTCTTGGTGAGGTCTCTGCAGTGGCTAGTCCCTAGTGTGAGCTGGGTAAAATACACAACTACGGCAACAAAAGAGGAACAGTTAGAAGAAAGCACAGCAAAAAACAAAAAAGGCAATAGGCAAAGGTAACCCTGGTGAAGTAAACAAGTTGCATGGTTAGCTTTATCAGAAAGACCATGCAGGTTGTTATGCTGTACCACTCAAGTTTTGCAAGTTCATGAGCTGGGCCAAAATAACTGGACTTTGGATTAAAACAAAATGAGGAGCTAACATGGGGGACCTCTGCTGTTAACATCATTAACATCAACATACAATCAAACGTGGTTCATGTCAGATGTAATGTTATGTCCACTAACAATAAAACAATGCAATTAAAAAGAGAAACTTCATTACCTTTGCAGCTTGGGGGACATCAAGACTAAAAGAATTTCATGCAAAGCCTTGGCTGCTATTTATTTGTAACATTTTTCAGAATTGCATTCAACAGAATTTCACATAATGGTAAATACCATTACTCGTAACACTTATCACACACTTTTACAACGGTATTCCATGTCAGTGTTCGTATAATCATTAACACTGAATTAGTATCCATGGCACGAGCCAATGGCCCTCTTTACACTCTGAAAAACACCATTATACAGACCAAGCAATAAGTAAAGATGTCAGCACCTGCTCTGTTAACAACATTTTGGCGTTAGAGGCCAGATGTCCTTAGGGAGCAGAACAGAGAGGATCAAGTGTCATCACCACAACCACAACACAATAAGAGCAAAATATGAGCAATGAGGAACTTGTAGAGACACAGGCACTGCTGAAAGATGGGATAAAGGGGATGCTGGAAGCGAACACACTACAGTTTGTAGATGAGAATAAAAGCAAACATGCAGTTCTAGTGAGACATTGGCATAGTGCAGGATTATTATCCAAATGGGGCATTATGGGGTTTTGCGATTATCAGTGAAGAGTAAAATTACACAGGGAGTGAGTAAATAAATGTGGCAACAATATGGTATAATCATAGGATTTGGACAAAAATATGACACTCAAGCTCAATTTCAATAGGACACAACTGAAACAGTGATGGAACTTTTAAGCATAACAGAGTCAGATTAGAGTGCAAACAGAAGCTGGACTTCTCTGTGATAAGACAATAACAGATCATCAGTGTGGCATATGTGGTTACACTGAAACGAAGCTGTCTAAATATCTGACAACAATATCCATGCAGACTCTTCTCCCCATCAATAGCACTAATATATATAACCTCTTTAGCTAATCTGAACCCCTAATGGATTCTGAGCTCCCTGTTAACACCTTCTGCTGGGATAGGGTTGCATAGGGACAGCTTGGTAACTAGAGAGGGAGTCTATACTATATCAGTCACTCCAACATTAGAGCCATTCTGCAGGGAAATGGTATGGGAATGAATGGGACAAGCCCTGGTAATCCAATTCCTTAAACGTATAGACTGGTATGTGCTGACTGTGGTTAAAAAAATAAGTCCACAAAGACTGAATGTTAAAATTAGTATGTATCTGTGCAACACATTTATATTTCCCATTTAGTTTTATATTGAGAAAGGGCATGGTTTAAGTTCAACAAACTGTTCTCTTTGGGAAGGGAACAGGTATTTAAAGAATACACTGACAGTCATTCGCAAGCTATAAAATAGACAAAATGAGGTTATTTGTGTATGGTTTCCCTTAACGTTTCATGCTTAACAAATGACAACAAAAATATCTTCAACTTCCTTTAAACCTGTAATATGTCAAGATTTAAAAGAAAAAAATCAAAATCAAAGTCAAAGTTAAATATATCAGTGTTCCACATTTCCTTTTTTATTTTAAATAATAAGCCAACAAAAAGCATATCTACTCAATATAATTTAAATTAACTTAATTTTCATTATTATTGGTCCCCTTGGGTTTTCCTTCTCTGTAACATAGGCATGATAATAATCAAATGCAGATTTAAAATCCAACAGCACATGATCTGTCTTAAACATCAGTGAGAGTATGGCACCTACATAATCCAAAGACTCTTTCCACCAGTGAGAGAGGTGACTAGGGGATTGCAGTCGGTCTGAGATCATAATAGGGGGAGCTGCTTTTGTGAATGTAAAGTGTGTAAACTTTAGAAGGCTTCAGGATTGTAGGTGACCCTGTTGTAATTCAAGCAGAAAAGAAGTGGCTGGTGTTACAGCTGGAGTATAGGGTTCATTTTCTATATGCCCCCACCCCCCGCCAGACCACCATCCCGCCATCCCATCTCATGGCCTTAACACTATGTTAAGGGCACAGGCAGCCAAAAGACCTAAGGCGCCTGTCTCTCCTTCTCTAAGCATTCACAGTCTGCACCTACATATTTTTTAACTAGTATTCAGTCATTTTGATATCTTTCAATTCTAGCCAAGATGTCAGAAGATGTTACCCCGATTCACAATGGTAAGTTGAAAATAATGATTTATGAACTTTCCGATTTTGCAGGAAATGTCACTTTCACATAATTTGTCTTTGCGTGGCTACATGACATCTGGCCAAAACTAATGAGCAACATAAATTCAATGAATCATTGAAAAATTAAACCATATAAGGAATCATCTTCCACAACAGGGGAAGACAGTTACCTGCTCAAAAGACATTGAAAAGACATGGATATCTGTCTTTTTAGATTCCTTCTTTTTTTTTAGGAGGGGGCTAGCTTTGATATTGATAATGACATTTGCCCTTATAAAATGCACACCGGTACACCGGTACCTCTCAAACCATCATATTTATCCAGCTGAAGCTCAACTCACATAATTACCAAAATAATGTTCCTCCGCAAGTAACTTGCACTTTTACCCCTCAGCTGCTAGAGGACCAAATACTCCATACTGCACCTTTACTAAATGGTAAAATACTCTTTAGAGTAGAGGCATGTATGCGGTTGTGGTGGGTAATTCCTGAGAAGCAGTCTCACACACACAAAACAAGAAAAGTCCACACATTATTTTGTCTTGTATACATACATCCGCAGAGCAGTGGAAGTTAAAAAGGTCTTTTTTAATCCTGATCCAATGTCTCTTTTTAGGGACCATTTTAAAATAAGATCGAAGATGCTGGAAAACCAGACTGACAGTTTTTCTTTGTCCTAAACATAAGGCATGCTCATTTGTGCTCTGTTCACAGAATTCACATTGCCTTAATTGGAAGATGGTATTCCAATAACTCTGGAAACCAGTCATTTTTTCCAAACAGTGCTCAGTTGTTGCTCTCTTTTCTGTCACTGTGTCTTGGGCACCACCAAGATTTCATCTCCATCTCGTATACTGTAGGAATGAAGTGCTCGTGCTCCATATTTCATCTCCTGAGGATCTAGTGCATAGCCAAGCTGCCGGTCGATATAGTACACACGCATCTTGTTTGGAGGTAGCTGGACCACGGCCCTCAACTGCTTCTTTAGGTCTGCCACTGTCTGATCCAATCTGAGCTCTAGGGGTTCTGCCTGGTGCCCAAAACGCACCTCTACCTGGACATGGCAGAGAGGGCGCAAATCCACCTCTGCAAGTGGGGCTAGGCGGCCATAGCGTGCTACCAAAGTGTGATACCTGAAAAGAGTGGACAGCAGTGAGAAAAAGAGAACCATGTTAATTTATCCCATGTATTTTAGTTAAGTTATCCCATTTTAGTTAAAACAGAAAGACTGTCAAGAAACCAAGAATAGAGAGAATATACAAAAGCTCTGTTCCAAAAATCTAGTGAACTGCCTAGCTAGAAAACATTTTCAATCAACAAAAGTATACTGACAGAAAGGTTGTTATTGCAGACAGTAGGCAGCAACATTTTGCTTCCAAGATAACTTAAGTTCTAACTGTAACCAATACTGATAAAAAAACAATTATATTGAATAAAAATTATTTAGATTTTTTTAATGCTTGTTAGAGTATTTAATAGAGTGCTCCATGGATGGTGTAATATTTTAGGTCAACCGGAAGTTAGCATCACCCTGGTTCTCTCGACAAAAAAAGCTTGTCCAGAAGTTCAAAACTGCTAACTCATTCCTGGGTTTTAGAAGTCCTTTCTACGGCACCCTACAGTAAGCTTAGCAATATGCTAACCCTATTGGGATCAATTCTGAGTCATACTTTTACATCCAGCAATCTTTCTGCAGAGTTGCTGCTTAGGTGGATTGCTCCAATTGTTCCAGTTCAGTCAAAAGTGAGGTTTCATGTCTTAAAGGTGAACTGCTTATGTAGACTAACAAGTCAACTAGGATTTAGAACAGAGCTAATGATCTACAATGATATATGCTTGCAAAACCTGGTATGTGTACATATGCAGACGTCCCTGTTAAAGTATTAGTTAACTTCCAGAATAAAAATTTCCTGACAATTTACTCACCCCCATGTCATCCAAGATGTTCATGTCTTTCTTTCTTCAGTCGAAAAGAAATGAAGGTTTTTGAGTAAAACATTCCAGGATTGTTCTCCATTTAGTAGACTTAAATTGGAGCCAACGGGTTGAAGGTCCAAACTGCAGTTTCAATGCAGCTTCAAAGGGCTCTACACGATCCCAGCCGAGGAACAAGGGTCTTATCTAGCAAAACGATTGGTCATTTTCTAAAAAAAAAGTAAAATTTATATACTTTTTAAAAACAAATGCTCATCTTGCACTAGCTCTGTGGTGCGTGTCCACAGCTTCACGCATTGCCTAATCACGTTGGAAAAGTCATGCGTGGTTAGTTCTTCGTCTGTGTACTTCAGTTCAAAAAGGTAGGGTTGGGCGAAAAATTTCATCTCCGTCACTTTCTTATCCAACTTCAAAATCGTCCGACTTTGTTTTACCTTTTTTTGTAAAGGGCATTTGACTTTTTTGCATGTTTGCTTTGTAAACACTGGGTCAGTACTTCCGCCTACGTCACGTGTGTGTGACTACGTAATGTGTGAGGTCAAACTAGTGCAAGATGAGCATTTGTGGTTAAAAAGTATATCCTTTCTTTTCAACTGAAGAAGGGGGTGAGTAAATTATCAGGAAATTTTTATTCTGGAAGTGAACTAACCCTTTAAGATGTGTTTTTGGTGAAGTGGTCAGCCACGTGGTCAGGAATTTATTGTGCCATCTCCCAGAAATGAGTTTTTGCAGAGTGGGACGTCTGCATATGTCTGTTTTCATCAAAAGTGTCAATTACCCTCAACTGTTTAAAAAAGACAACTCCTCTAAACAAAAATAATGTCAGTGCACCATGGAAGTGACCAGAGATCTGTGTGTGTGTGTTTGTGAGAAGATGCGGTTGTGTATTTGTGTACCTGTTCGTGTGTTTGTGAAGCACAGTGAGTTTTTAAACCGTGAGAAAGTTCTCACCACCACCCCGTTTACCCTCCCTTCTTTCCACTCTTGCTGAAGGATTGTGGGAAAGATAAGAGGAGATCGGCAGGAACAATTAAATAAAATCTCCACAAAACAGTCTTTTAGCTTTAGAGGGCTACAGTAACCGACACAGCCAATCAAAGTAATTTCCCCAGCCTTGTCCAGAAAAGTCTCCCCACAAAGCAGAGCCTGAGCCTGGGTAGGTGCCTGTGGCTCCCTGCCTTCGCCATGGGAATACTGCCCCCTCTATACAAAGTGCCACTCTGTCTGAGAGAAAGAACAGTCTCACTCAAGGGTCTCATTTAGTGTGGCTAAGCTCCTTAAATGAAGGCGAATGGGTGTTCGCTGTGATAACATAGCTGCCTTGGATTCCTTGAACAGTGCTTAGATCAGTCTCGGAGATGGGACCGGACAGTCGCCACCATGCAGTGCACCAGGTTCATAGTAGAGCCATACAGTGAGTCTACTGTAGATACTGCCGTTGTTGATGCCCTCAAAACAACATGATCTGTTTTCAGGTAGATAACATGCACACAATCACAATTAGCTCAAAATTTAGATATCTAAAACTTGCAGCAGAGATACAGAACCTAAGCCTTTGTTCACACTCCACACAACTGCCATTTGTGCTTTCCCATTTTTAGGACTGACGGTCAATTTTGCATCAGTTGAAATCAAATCTGATTTTAAGACAGTGTAAGCAATAACTAGTATATCTACATGGGTTGCTATAGTAACGATGTAGGTGGTTACATGAGACCAAGAGCATTGTTTTCTTTTCCAACAACTGAGAGTCACACAAGACAAAATACCAGTAAAAAAAGGTGGTATCTCTGTATTTTACACATACGTTAGTGTCCAAAATATTCACTATATATTTTATGGGTTGGACCCAATACTATTGAGGACATTAGCAGGCCCAGGACAATGTTGTCGGTTGTCCCCCCTGACAACAGCCCTAATACTATGGAAAGAGTGAATTAAAATTAGTTCAGACATAGCTGAAAACACTACCTTGCATTCTTTATGACGCTAGGTGTCCTGAGTGACAATAAAAAGTACTTGGAATTTGAACTGATTTCTCAGACTGAAATACATTTAAGTCTGTATTGAAGAAAATGTTATTACCCAGGTTCTCAAGTCTCAAGTCTCAAGTCTGCTTTATTGTCAATTCTTCCACATGTACAGCACATACACACAGAGAATTGAAATTGCGTTACTCTCAGACCCTTGGTGCATACAGATAACACTAACAGTAGAACATAAATACAGATAGATACAGATTTAAATATAAAATACAACTATACAATTATACAAATAAGGTAAAATGTAAAAAAATATATAAAGCAGCATAAGGCGCATGGCAGATAGAGGGCAAACCAGTGAAGTAAACAACAGTGCAGATATAATGATTGTAGTGCAAAAGAGCTTATTAGTATATTAGGATGTAGGTAGGATGGCGGCACGTTCACACGCTGCGGCTTCTCTCTCTCCCGACAGAAAGGTGTTTTCGTGTTTTTTGTCTTGTGAGTCGCAGTGTTTTGTACGTATTCGTCGCGTCTATCTGTCTCTAAGCGCGCATACAGTCGTGAGTTTCTGCTCGATGTCGGCAGAACCACATTTTTAGAGTTAAACTCTGCGCACGCCGAAGAGCTGCGGGATCTCGCTCTGCTCCGGAGGCCCACACCATCACCGACCCCCACTACTGCATCTCGCCCACAGCGGAGGCGCCACAAGCGGCGTGAGAGGAAGCAGAAGAGGGGTAAGCGCGGAGGTATCCGGGCTAGGCTAGCGGCTAACCCGCACAAGCCAGCTATCCGAGGCACTAAATGAACTGTACCAGCACATCAGTGAGCAGCAGACAGCCCACCCTGATGCTTTTCTCATCTTGGCTGGGGATTTCAACCACGCAGACTTAAAGAGCGTATTCCCAAAAATACACCAACACATATGTTGTAATGTTGTTTCCACTCCCAAATAGACACACACACTGTCACTTTAATCAGTCTGAATAAGCTGCACCTTCTGCACCTTAAGTTGTCAAGTCAAGTCAACCTCAATGTAGTCACCACTCACCACTATACCATTAAATGAATTAAAACTGCAGCAAATGCATTAAATGCTTTAATGGGAACTTGTCTACATGTTGTCTATGAATCCTTCTATCTTGACATCTTTAGCATCGACATCCACCATGATGGATGCTAAAGAGCCTGGTTACGCAATCCACTTATCTTCTTAAATTTCTCATTGTCCGTAAAGAGTGACGCACTTAGATTTTCCCTATACATTGGCCTTCTTACATCCTTGTAGGCCCCATGTTGTCTTTCACTGTCAAAATGTCAACAAGGTCCCAGGCTATGGTTACTCACAGACAGTAAGACCAATAGCCTCTTTCATTTTCTTCACACTCTCCTTCTGTCATCCCTGTCTTTGCATCCCTCCCCTCTGCTATCATTCCTGTGTTTCCCATTCCTCCAAGGGAGGATCAACATGCCCATGGCCACAGCTCAGGTTTTAGTTACTCAAAGGCTGTTAAATATATAGAGCTCCTTCATCTATTTAACGGCCTCCCTCTTTCCTACATACACTATAACAAGTGTACCTCACAGCCTTGCCCTTGGTACAATTAAACTAAAGCTGAAGTATTTAAACATTTTTGTTAATAGGACAGTACAAAAGCTATTTTAGTGCACATAAAGTAGTTTTGGAAGGATATTCATAGGTATACGCTAAACAACATATATAGGCCTGATCTAGAAAATCGTTGTGCGCAATCAAGCAGTGAAAGGTTTGAATTACACTAGCCAGCACTCAAATCTCTACATCTTCTCAGCTTTATAAAGATAACAGTCCCATGCCTACTTATACCTAAAGTTTAAGTCTAAGCAACCGTAAATGCGACTAAGGTTACTGTGAAATCACTTTGAAAGTCTCTCAAATGGTTCTAACCATGCTACCACAGTTTGAGTTTCATATATTAGGCTGAATGGGTCTCTACACCAGTTATGTCTCATGCATTCAAAGAGAGCCCGGTCCAACGGTGTGTTTGAGGTCAGGGAGGCATAATTTCTTTCTGCCCATCTCTTTCTCTGTTTCTCAGATCTTTGTCATCTTTCAGAGTCAGTAACATAGCCTAAGCTCTGATCTGCGCCCAAAGGGTGGGGGAAAGAGCAGGCTGGGTTCAAAGAGGGGGCAACCTTAACCCATATCTAGAGTTTACCATCTACTTCTACACCTGCCCTTTCACCCTCCAGTGCCAACTTTCATCTCAACCTCTTCCCTCTGGGAAAATGGCTTTCCCTCCAGAGAGACAGACAGAAAGGGACAGAGAGAAAGAAACAGAGGATGTGGATGGAGTGAGGAGGTCAGAAATGAGGGTCATTGTTACCTGGTTTTAGTTTACCTAGGTGTTGAAAAGAAAGTCTCTGAAGAAGTGGTCCCGGTGGGCACAAGAAGAAATAAATAAAAAATCGAGTTGTTAAGGAATGGTTCACCCAGTCATGAAAACTTTCTCATGTCATTTGAAACACGTTCGACGTTCGGAAAAAATGATTGCTGTGCGATAAATTCTTAATTTGTGTTTTTTATGTATTTATGCTATGGTATTTAGTTTTTCTTACACATCATGTGTGGGGCAATGTTATCAATGTTATCATCTGTTTAAGAAAGGGTTATTTTAAAAGGTTGTTAAAAACCTATTTTTAGTATCTGGTACTTTAGACTGAGGCCACTATTTCTGAGAAAGGCCCATTTTCACCTCATCTCTCGTTTCCGACCTTCTATAGCTGGAGCAGGAACTGTGTCATAACTGTTTAGACAACTTAATCAATTCACTAGGTCTGAGAGCCATTCCAGAACAAAGGCAACAGCATCTCCATCGCTTAACGGAAAAAGCAGGAGAGACTGAGTCAGGGACGTCACTCCATCCCCTTTTTAAAAAATCCTCCAGCTAACTCAATCCCCCCAAAGCAAATGAAAAGGGACAGGAGAGAAGAACAGGGAGGGAGAGAGGGGGATATAAGGAGGGGAAGAACGAATAAAGCTGCCACCATGTGTATCGATTTTCTGATTGGAGTATTCCAGTACAAAGGCGTCTTTGAGGAGGGAGAGAGTGGACACATTGTCTCCCAAAGGTTAGAATACCCTGCTGGAAGCTGGGGCTTGCCGCAGTCACTGAAAAAGTCCTCTGCACATTCTACCAGGTTAAGTGGAATGGGGTGTGCTAAGAACGTGGGTGATCCGTTTTCCATTTCTTTGACCTGCAAAGACCCTCCAAAATATCCCCCCGAAAGTCCCCCCCCCCCCCCAAAAAAAAAATCTGTTATTGCAAGGACTAAACTAACCTTTAATGTCTGTGGAACAACTGTATGGGAATGTAACCTAAATTACAGCATAGCACTTGTTCAAGTAAATTATTCAGAATTTAATACTAGATAATATTTAATTGTATATGATCAAGAAACTAGTGCTTATTATAGTCATTATGAAATTAAAATGAATCTGTTTTCTGAATGCCTATTATGGATCTTATTTTGAACTCATTTTGGCATGTTGTTACATCTTTTATACCTCATAATTCTTAGTCCAAGTATTCTAACTTGATCTACCATTGAAACAACAGAATTCTGTCTGCTGACATTTGCTGGACTCTAATAATTTTGTCCGATTAAATCCCACCCCTTTGTTACAATCACGTGCAAGTTTGCATTTAGATCTGCCTCCATCCAATCAACAGCCAATGCATAGATCCAAGCTCCCGCTCCTGCTTTTTTTTTTTTTTGATGATACGCTTACCTCAATTTATTTCACAACACAAAGGAAAATATTTGTTGATACTTCTGATTTATTGTGATTTTTGAACCTTTGTAAAATGGTCAATTGAATGCATCTTAATAAATTAGAGTTGGGTTCAGGTCTGGTGAGTTTGCTGGCCAGTCAAGCACACCAACACCATGGTCATTTAACCAACTTTTGGTGCTTTTGACAGTGTGGGCAGGTGCCAAATCCTGCTGGAAAATGAAATCAGCATCTTCAAAAAGCTGGTCAGCAGAAGGAAGCATGAAGTGCTCCAAAATTTCTTGGTAAACGGGTGCAGTGACGTTGGTTTTCAAAAAACACAATGGACCAACACCCTGTAGACCTATTTTATGGATATCAAAAAGATAACAAAAAAAAAAATAAAAAAAATAAAAACATTAACTTTCTTAAAGGATGTTTATATACTGTAAATAATTAAAAGACGGCCTTTTAGTAACTTTGGGAAAAAGGATAACATTAGTTATGGGTAACAAATAAGACCCGAGTCTGCAGTTATGAGGGAATAAAAAGAAGCATATTTTTTTTATTTATATGATAGGTTGATTAAATAGGATATTTTAATACACAGACACCAGTAATTTTCTGGGATGTACTGTACATAGTTCTCTAAAGAAACAAAAAAGAGACTGAGAAAGTGTATATGTGTATGTTGTGTATATGGAGTGTGGTGGTGTAAGGGGTGCAAGTGGGTCACCTTTGGGGTAGCTCATCCTCAGGGCAGTCCAGGTGGTAGCGGATGAAAAAGCGCTCTGCATCCTCTCTTTCTCCATCAGTGACAACACTGCCGTTCAATACAGTCACGTGAGGCAAACTTACAAAATACAGAAGAAGGACAAGTGTGTGAGAGGGAGAGAAACAGAAAGAGACATGGAATGCATGGACATGCACAATTCCATATTGGTGGCTACATTGATTTGTGCAATCATTTCCAACAATACTCAAAAATGGCAAATTCCAAAAGTGTACGGTTACTTACTGTGCTACCATGAGACAACGTCTCTCCTGATCAGTGTAGGGCTGCAGTAATGGAATACCCATCAGTCTGACTTCTTGAAGCTTTGGGAAGAAATTCAATTTCTCAATGTCCTCCCAGTGACTTAAACCTAAATAACACAACACCTACATTTCTGTTAATAATCCATGAAACTGGATATATATAAAATTCGGTCAATTTTTAATTACTCACCCACGTCGTTCCAAACCCATTAGACTTGGGTTCATCTTCAAAACACAAATGAAAACATATTAATGAAACTTCTGTCCCTCTATGCAACACTCCATGCAACCAAAACTTTGACAGTTGAAGCATCATAGTTTTAGTGGAATGTACTTTAAATGGAGGGACAGAAATCTCTCAGGTTTCATTGAAAATATCATTTGTGTTTCCAATATGAACAATTATCTAATGGTTTGGAAAAATATGAGGGTGAGTAATTCATTTTTGGATGAACTAACCTTTTGATACTACATGATTATTTAGAATAGCTACTTAAAAATATTTACAACCCAAAACCACAGAAATCTGATGACCAACTGAATAACAGAAGAAGAATATTAGAAAACTACAGTGGAAGGGAAGATTTTTAATGAATAACGGCTTCAATTTTGGTCTTTTCCTCATATAAATCTATTGTTTTATTTAAGAAGACAAGGAGTACAGTGCATGAACCATGGTGGACCACTTAAGTTTTGGCTTGTGATGTTCTCAATTTTGTTTAAATTGTAAATTAACCTAGATAGTAAAGGTTAATGCTGCAACTACCTAGAAGTGTGTGTGTCTGTGATGATATTCATTCTACAGAGATGATGTTCATGCAATCCAGCACCTGAGTTGTGTAGGTTGATGCTGCGCAGGTTGGGAAAAAGTCTCTGTAGGGAGTCCTCAGGCTCGTGGATAGACGAGAGGGAGTTGTTTGCCAGGATAAGAGACATCAGGCCTGGATACATGAGGCCCAGCTTGCGCACCTCCGCCCAATCCTGCAGCTGGTTATCTGTGATATGCAGCAGGCGCAGGGACAGGCACAGCGTAGATGACACACTCACGCTCTCATACTCGTTCAGACACAAAAACAATTCCTCCAGCCTACATACATACAACCACAAGAAAAAGAAGAAAACTTTTAGTGCATGACAAAATTACCCATTTCGCAACTAGTGGTATGCCACAGCACAGTGCTAAAACAATATCTACATTTGAATAGAAAATGCATTCAAATAGATTAAAATTACATAAAAACAGTTAGTTTGGCATAATATTTGATTTGTTAATATGATTTAATTTCTCAATAAAATATTTTAACAAAACTGCTTCACTGTTTGGTGTAATTTAAAAGTAATTTTATTCAAAATCACTAAAGTCAGTCATGGCAAAACATTGTCTCGATTTATATTTTCCTATAATTTTTACAATGCCGAGAATTGGTGTTAAATGATTAATTGTGATTAATCGCATCAAAAATAAAACTTTTTGTTTACGTAATATATGTGTGTTTACTGTGTATATACACACACATGCATGTATTTAAGAAAAATATGTTATATTAATATATTACATATACTTATATATAATATCAATTATATGAATATAAATACATGTAAATATTTTCAAAATATATACTGTATGTGTGTGTATTTATATATACATAATAAATATACACAGCACACACACATATATTATGTAAACGTAAACTTTTTGGGATGCGATTAATCGTGATTAATCGTTTGACAGCACTAACGAGAAACTGCACACCTAAATCATAATGTATAAAAACACATTCACAAACACATTAGATGGTTCAGACCGAGGCTACTTCAATGTTAAACACACACACTTACTCAGGGATCTCTCGTGTAAGTGCATGCACCATGTCCCAGGTGACATGCGTGTTATTGAGCACGAGGCGGCGGAGGCCTGAGAACGCTTCAGCAGCTCCAGGCTCTAGATTCGACCCTCTCAGTGGATTCATACTCAGATTGAGAAAGTCTAGGTTAGGGATGTTACACAGGATCTTGCTTATCTACAGAGAGGAGAGAAAAAGAGAGAAAAGAATGAAAAACTGACCGAACCCAAGCAGTTTGTCTTGTCAAGCCTGTGTCAAGTAGCAGACCTCGATTTCACTGTATTTTTAATGTTACAGTCTAACATAAGCGTAAAAATAACACTTTAGTAAAGGTATTTAAAAAAAAAAATAAAATAAAGGTATATTTATAAATTAGTTACATGAACAAAAATGCATAAAATTAGCCAAATATTGCTGGGAAAAAAGCTCGCCCAGACATTAAATTAAACAGCATTCTGTTTATAAACAACAAATTTGTGTGAAAAGAGATGAGCCACATGCAAAATCTGTCTCTTATTCAAAATTCCATATCACACGGATTCCTATGGAAATGACCGGATTTCGTCTGTGAAATTTTGTCAAAAAATGGTACCCAAAAATGAAAATTAGCTGAAAATGTACTTACCTTCAGGCCATCTGATGTATATGAGTTTATTTCTTTATCAGAACAGATTTTGAGAAATTTATTGATGGTCATTAATTGATTTACTGAAGTCATGTGGATTACTTGTGGATTATTGTGATGTTTTTATCAGCTGTTTGGACATCCATTTTGACCGCACACGTTCACTGTAGTAGAGGATCCAATGGTAAGTAAGTGATGTAATGCTACATTTGTAATTCAAATTTGTTCCGATGAAGAAACGAACTCATCTACATCTTGGATGACCCGAGGGTGAAAACATTTTCATTTTTGGGTGAACTATTCCTTTAAGACTTATTTTCTAACAACATCAGAGTAGTGAAATCTGATAAAACTTTATACGGCTCTATATATTAACCATGATTTAATGCAGTAATACTTTTACAGCATTTTATAATACCTTTATATTATGTTTATAATACCTAATGCATTAATCACTGATAATAAACTGAATTTTATTGAATTGTACAGTAAGTGTTACCTTACTGACATTCTTTGTGCTACGTACACAAATGTACATACAGTGAGACAAAACCTGTGACTCAAACACATTTTTCTCACCTCTCCCCAGTCTTTTAACTGGTTGTGAGAGAGGTCTAGCTCAACCACGTGAGCACAGAAAGTGGCCACCTCCTCCTCATCTCCGGCCTCCGTGATTCCACAACCATCCAGAACCAGAATGCTGGGCAGATTCAGACGATCTTATACACACAGTGGGAGACATAAACTGCCTTTAATTAATGTATAGATGAAAATTCATTAGAATTTGAAGTTACAACCATCCGTACAGGTTTTTTTTTTTAAACTTTATTTATTTACAGCATTTCACTTAATATCTTCGGAAAATCCTTAGATTTTGGCCCTAGAATACATTACTATAATGATAACATTGTGCTCTTCAACAGGCGCAGCAAAACCGTGTTTAATGGCAATAACCACTGATTGTAGATCACTGATCCAGATTGTATCTAACACACCCTCTTTAACTAGCAGGCTCAGCATTTCACCTACGGCCAAAAAAAAAACCGACCTTTGACAGGTGAACCCTGGGGACTCGACCGGATCACCACTCCAACTCCTGGCCCACGGCAGTATGGGAAGTTTTCCGGGCTGTACTTCTCACTGATCACCTGCACTAAAGTGCGTCCTTCTGTCTCCTCTGACTCCATCTCACCTCTCCTCCCACTCTCACACCTTCAGCTGAGCAAACACAGAGGAGTAGCGTGTGTTTAGGTGAATGTAGCATCAGTTCCCGTGAAACAAACAGGTTTATCAGTTGTCGACCAAGTGGACAGGCGTGTGCTTGAAAGAAACCATTTGCGAAGAGGGATGTCTGTAATTTTCAACCAGGGCAAAGATTAGTACTAGTTTCAAAGAGCTGATATTTAGGTCAATAACATTTAACGTTGTCCGTGATAAAAAAGGACAAATCATCTAAAAAAAACTAGTTTAAAAAATGCAGTTACAGAAATTTGCTATTCGTATTCATGTTGGTTTTATATAGTTTTAAAAAACTTTATTACTACTCACATAAACAGTTTAAATTAAATGACTCTAAAAATGTCAAGTAAAAAGTAAGAAAAAACATACTCCTTGAATACATATGGTGTACACACCTTAATCATCAAATTGGTTTTTAACATATTTGTTTTTTTTCCCTGCTTGTTAACACTAGATGATTTTAATTTTGGGGACAAAAGTGTTTTAATACTACTAAAAAGTGAAATCACTTATTATATTTTTTCTATGAAATAATAAAGGATTAATAATAAAGGACTTGCATTTTAATGTATTTTTGAATAAACTGATAAGGCAAAAAAATGAGTGTAACGTCGCTGACCCTTTTGTCACATGCACCAGTGTTCAAATAATCAAAACACTAATACTCTACGCTAAAAATCAACTGATTTCTATATTAAGAAACAATGTTACAAGGTTAAAGCCAAAAGAGTGAAATTTATTTGACTCACATTTGATCTGGAGGTCAAACAGGTGCACATTGATGGTGGGCCTCCTGCCAAACAGCATCCAGGAATGGATCTCTTAACCTGCGGCCTCGTGGGTCAGGGCTGGGGGTGTCCCACAGCCCCTGACTCAAGAGTGTAAGAATAGACAGAAATGGACAAATGAGATGATGCACATGTGTCACATGGAAAACTTGTGGTCACAGAACAATCATTCTTCTATCCCTTTATGATGCCTAGACAAATGTGGTAACACTAGCACTGGTATGGAAAGGTCTATCCTTGAAATCGGATCCAATGACGCTTTGTCCGACTCCCATATGCTGCTGTTTTACACAGAAGCACAATGGGAAAACGCCAGTGGTGCAAACGGATGTTGAGCTCTGAGCATATGTATGAGCCTCTTCTAGACAGATGAATCTGTAAGTGTAAAGAGATCTTTATTGCTAAAAGATTGGCCTGCTGATTTATTCTGTCTGTGGGTTTCTTTCCATGAGCAGAAGAGTGATCTAAATCTAATCCAGCACAGAAAGATATCCGTCACAATCTTCTGTGAAGTCCACTCAAAGTACATCTCACAAACTACACTTCAAAGCAAGATTCATCTTGCTCCAAAACCTTGTCTGTCCAGACCAGACAAAGTTTTTTTTTCTTTTGAGAGAGAGAGAGAGAGAGAGAGAGAGAGAGAGTGGGTGGATGGGACTGCATTCCTATTAGAGACCAAACATTTTTGTTTATGTAACTAATATATAAGTGATATACAGAACCAATCTGTAATATTTTTTAACAGTTCTTTATGATAAGGTCCCATTAGACATTAAATAACATTAATAATGAGAAATACATTTATATTTTTTATCTTTGTTTTGTTAAAAAAATGTAACTGTTCATTGTTGATTAATATTAGGTCCATTTATTAATATTACCAGACACAACTTCTGATTTATATAACTAAACGTTAAACAATTAACATAAATAAGATGAATAAATAGTTTAGAAGTATTTTTCATTGTTAGTTCATGGTAACTAATGTAGTTGGAACGTTACTGTAAAGTGTTACAAAACAGTTGGACACTTCTGGACCTAGCTACAGCATTAGGTTAAAATCCACAAAATATTAAAGTCGGCATGAAGTGGAAATTGCAATGGCTTTACTTTTCTATTGTGATGAATATCTGACTGAAACCGCTTCTCGAATAAGAAAAAATGTAGGTCGTTGAACTTGATTTTGTCTTTCAGGAATTGATTGGATCGCTGTCGTTTGCTAATTGCTGTGAAAGGTTTCTTCGCAACTGTCAAAATTATGTTTCAAAAACATTTTATATAAGGAATCAAACAAAATCTGACAAACAAATAGGTGTTTGGCTCTAAAAAATGAAAGGTGGGGCCTCCATCCTGCAGGCGATTGGCTCTTTTAACTATAAGGCAGGACTACAACTGTTTCTCATTTGAGAATGAATGTTTGTTGCATTAAAGTCTGTGTGAACCTGAAATTGTGACATACTTTACTTCACCATTGTTACATATTTCCAAGTGAAACAGTATATTCCAAATCGCTTGTCCTCTGCAGAGTCAAACGCTATATTAAATGTTAAAAATAGAGGGTGGAGCTTGATTTCAACACACCTGCTCACCATCTCTAGCTCGCAGCAGATTGGTGGTTGGAGGGGAGGGGCTAAAGGATGTTCTGCCCATACCATCAAACTGACATCATCAGAATACCTTAAAGGGGTCATATGATGCGATTTCAATTTTTCCTTTCTCTTTGGAGTGTTACAAGCTCTTGGTGCATAAAGAAGATCTGTAAAGTTGCAAAGACTAAAGTCTGAAATCCAAAGAGATATTCTTTATAAAAGTTAAGAGTCAACCACGCCTACCTAAAACAGCTTGTTCGAACACGCCCCCACATATCTACGTCACTGTGTGGGAAGATTTGCATAACACCGCCCAAATGTTCACGCAAAGAAAGAAGGCGAAGGTACCAGCACAATAACACACTCAGCAAAATATTGTCTAATTATCGTTATCGATAAAATCCCATAAAATATCGAGATATAATTTTTTGTCAATATCGCACACCCCTAGTGGAGCGTGTGTAAGGCTGGGGAAGGTTTAGCCTTCCCCTGGCCACGTGGACTTGGGGCAAAAATGGCACGAAATTGGACAAAAATGCCCCTGCACAAATAAATTAAATCTATTACGTCTGTTGCTAACAAAGTGAATATGAATAGACAATGTCGATTGTGGCATTAAATTAAGATCTGATCATGTTGCACAGTATTTCATTTTAGGCGTTTTTACAGTGTTGCGCATTTTAACCAATCACACACAATTCTGTTTAGCTTAGGAATGCAATGTCCAATCAGAGGAGTTCAGATGAGTCATCGTTGAAACTCATCAGTTTTGTTGAGTGCGCGCGCGTTCGCTGACTGAATTCTGGACTCTTGCGAATTCTCTCATCATAAACAACAAAGCGCAGATGTACCTACAATGTAAGTAAGAGATTCATTTTGCTGTGTATACAGCTTCAGTGATTATAAGGATAGTTTTGTTTTTTTTGAGAGTGCTTAAACTCGGATATGTTTGATCAATGTTAGTGATAATGTCACTTTCTATATATAATTTATTCGCTGTTTTAAAACCGTGGAAAGGAAACGTTATATAATTATCAATTTCTAACATTTTTATTCAGTTGTGATCATGTTAATGACACCCATGTCTGGTTCTTGTCTAAAAAGACGAAAAAGACAGGTTTAATACATTTGGCTGCTTTTAGCCTTACCCTGGAGTTGGTTCACCCTCCGCCTGTGGCGCCTGTGGAGGTTTTTTTCTCCTGTGGAGTTGGGTGCACTCAAAAGATTAAAGGTTATTTCTTGTCATTCATGTATGAACTGTTTCTCAGTGGCTTGTACACATGCTCACAGGTTCAAGTCCGGTCTCAGCATGTCCTTGTTCCTTGTCTACTCTTTAATTCTGACTTTGCTCTCTATGCCATACGGTCTTATAAATGAACAGTAAAGGCCAGAAAATAAAACCACAATGATTATAACATTTGTAGTCACTTTGTTCTGCAGTGATTGATACAAAGTGCTATATTTAAAAAAAATCCCATTGGGCAGTATACTGTCTACAGTCATGAACACTAACCTTCTCAATCAGCAATAATTCAACAAGCTATTGCCCCAGAACAACCAGCAAGTCGGCAAACAGTGGATCACCTATCACCCTGAGCCAAATGAGCTGCTGCCTCATGGCTTGAGGTCACTGTGTAAAATTACCCAGAGATTAGAGCATCTTACGGGCAGGCAGCCCTACACACGGTGTCGGTGTCAAGTGATCTCTCTGTCTCTCTCTAAGTAAGAGGTCTTTGGTTTCCTCCAGAGCGGCTGTCTGGGAGGATGAACGGAGGGTGTTAGAGCTTAGCACACTTTGACTTTAAGTCTCATTGACTGCACAACTGAGATGGGAACATCAGCAGAGCACGGCGTGTTCAGTCTTCATCAACACCCTGAACTGATGGCTGTGTGTGGGACCGGGATAGCTGTTCCAAACCTGTATGACTTTCTTTGGTGCCAATTGATTTCCGATGTATGGAGAAAAAGACATTTCTAAAAATATCAAAGAAAGTCATACAGTTTTAAAACAAAATAATGGTGAATAAATGAATTAAACCTTTAAAAAATTGCTATGAGTAATATATTAACTTATGTTGATTTACTTCAGTGACACTTTTTTTCCCACATCATACATTAACAAAGTGTGATTTTAATCATGTTCACACGAATCAATAAACACAATTTGTTGTTGGTCCCCATTGACTTCCGTAGTGTCGGAAAAATCACACACGATTCTGTTGAGCTTATGAATGCAATGGCCAATCAGAGGCATTCAGATGAGTCATCGTTGAAACTCATCAGTTTTGTTGAGTGCGCGAGCGTTCGCTGACTGAATTCTGGACTCTTGCGAATTCTCTCATCATAAACAACAAAGCGCAGATGTACGTACAATGTAAGTAAGAGATTCATTTCAGTGTATACAGCGTCAGTGATTATAAAAATAGTTTTGTTTTTTTGAGTGCTTAAACTTGCGATAGATCAATGTTAGTGATAATGTCACTTTCTATATATAATTTATTCGCTGTTTGAATAACCGTGGAAAGGAAACATACACCTATCAATTTCTAACATTTTTATTAAATTGCAATCACGTTAAATACAAATTCAGTCCCATTAAACATTTTTTTAGCCTACATGACACATGTCCTCACTGAATGCAACAAATGCCTCGTTTAATTATAATGGGTTTTAATGTTTTTGTCTCGTTGCTCAGGCCAGACAGGGCATCACAGTATGTTAATAGGCATAACATTTCCGTCACACGCTTGAGGTATTCAGCCAATCACAACGCACTGGATAGCTGGCCAATCACAACGCACTGGATAGCTGGCCAATCAGAGCACACCTCGCTTTTCAAACAGATGAGCTTTGTAAAAATCGACGCGTTTCAGAAAGGCGGGGCATAGAGGAGAAACAATAATGTACAGTATGTGGAAAATAATGTGTTTTTTAAACTTTAAACAGCATAAACACATTTCATTACACCAAATACACAAAATAATGTTCTTTTTAGCAACATCATATGACCCCTTTAAACTCATTTTTCGGGTTTGACCAGAAAATAGAGATATAACAGAGATATAGATAGATATAGGTTTTGACTAAAGATTTTTCCCCATGATTTAACTTGATAGTTCACAATTAAACTTGATTAATATTAATTGTTCACCACAAGACTACTAATGAATGCTAGCAAATAAGGCACTTATTTTATTTAAAAAGAGAAAACTTTTCTACTTTTCCATCATCGTTAGACCTGAAGAACCAATCACTGACAGAAATGTGTAATATCAAAACCCCCAATGAAACCGATGATTACATCTCTCAAAACAACAGATGTTTCACATAAAAATGTTTCAAGATAAAATAGTCGATTTGCTGTCCTAACACGAAAGCAGTTAGTTAACATGACTCGACTTGTCCTAAAATAAGCCTCGGGCCAGGAGTCAGCCATTCATTTAACGCAGTCGACAGCTGCGCAGTGCGCCTTGACAAGGTGTTGAATTTCAAATGCACGGCTGCCATGACAACGCGTTTGTTTGGGATTAGCGCTGGTTCGACCAGATTCTGCAGCTCTGCAAAAGAAACTTTTCCAGTATTTACACGCTCAACGTTTTTGGTTTAGAGTTTCATGAGTTTTAGTGTTTTTAAACAATAACGGATAATACAGTACATGTCCGGTTAAACTCGCTGTATGACTTCATGATTAGCTAAATATAGAGTAAAACAGGCGTAATGTAACGTTACTCTAAAGTAGGCATACACAAAGGTGACGACAGCAGCCAATAAGCGCGTGGAGTTTATTTATTTATTTATTTATCTATCACCAAAACAATATTAGGCTGTACTGAAACGTAGTTCAAGGGTTTAAATAAAATAAAACGTGGTTATAAATGCGACCTGCAGATAAAAATGCAGATATCACACGATGACAAAAGGAGAGCATATTTACGATGCTGGATGTTTGGAAAAAAATAAACGTATTCAGTGTAAGTCTAATAACTGCATTTATAGCGCATCGGCCGTCTCGTCATCTACAGGCTCAATAAATAAAAGGCGAAATATATGTGTGGCATTTGAGTAGTTTGATACGCTTACCAATGACAAGGTTCAGCAAATCGCTCTGCTTGTTTTTGTTGTTGATCCGA